ACAACACACAAGACACGCACACACAACACACCACACACGACACACACCACACACAAACACACACACACACAAACACGCACACACAACACACACACACACACTGCAAACAGAAGGTAGAGAACGCACACCGAGGAACCACACCTTTCGTAGCGCAGATCATCCCTCACCCCCGATTCAGCTCCTTCCCGCGATACCATCCGAGACGCCATACACATCTTGGCAGCTATCACAATGAGCTGAGATGGGAAACCATGCATGTGAACAGCTCCGAGCAGCGGACGCCAGCCCACTTTAGTGAAGCATTGTTCGATGCCAGCAATGCCATGCACCTTGACGTCAGAGCCAGGATCGAGCTGCGAGTCAGAGATCGCCTCTCCCTGAACCAACACACGCGGGGCCACGTCTGTCGTAGATTGTGGGGCCCCCAAAGTGAAGAATGGCCCGTTGAGCCTACTGGCTCATTCGCGAACATGATCGACTCGAGCTGTGGCCCAAAGCCTATAAACCAAAGTAAGGAACGCGATATGTTCATAGCCTCCAGAGGCCGAACTCGAGAGCACGATTTGGACCCTGGACAACAAGTGTGGCTACGCACCCCACACTTCGCACAGGAAGAAGACATGGCTCGTGACGGAGAGCGCTGCCTTGGACACCAGCGCCCAGTGTGGCGGTCGAGAGAGATCCGCTCCGATGGCCGTCCGACCCGTAAAACGCTTGGCAGCATCTCTGAATTGATGAGTGGTGAGAGGAGGGAGGCGAGGTCCCGAGTCGATGAGGTCCTTCATGTCCCCTAGGAGTCCATCAGATACCTCGTCCATGTTGCTGCCGATGCAGTAATCCTCAGACCCATCAAGGTCCCTCCAGACTTGACCCCAAGAGTCCCGATGGGCCTCGACGATGTCCCTTGGGAGGCTCGAGGGCCCCGAGGGAGTAGAGACCTGAGCAAGCTGCCACTCTCTCGGCTTGGACCACTAGTGGATTGGTCCTGGCTTGACAGCAAGATGAGTACGCATCCACTGAACGAAGGACTCGGAACGGGCGTCAGGGGCTGGCCAAGCTAAGCATGTCCCCGTGATATGCTGAAGGCTGCGCGCATTTGCCATATGATATGCGTGATGTCGTGCAGGACGTGGCGTGGCATGATGTGTCGGAGCCTACCGTCACGCCCACGCGCGCCCATAAAGTCGTACAAATGCCTCCACGCTTGCACTCGATGCCCGTGCACACCTGCCTGAGCAATCATGACGTCGTTTACCCGAAGTTGCAGTGTTCGTCCAGCGAGCGAGTACGTCGTTCCAGCGGTTTGATACTTAACAGTAGCACTTCCCTCCGTCGAATACTCATACTCACTCCACTTTTGCGCCCGACCACGCGCTGTGGAGCCAGCATTGACGACGGCATCCCTCGTGCTATCTGGAGCTTGGTGAAATGGTTCGCGATGGCGGCGAGCGCAGGCCGTGAGGTCCCAGCCGACAGCAGACGGATCACCCAGCGCGACAGTCTGGAGCCTTTGCATGGCTTCCACCACGCTTCTAGCATCTTGCCCAGGAGGTGGACTCTGCGTGCCAACTGCTGCAGGGAAGGCGGCAGCAACCTCCAGCTTGACGGCCTCAATCTCCTGGGTGGCCGTGTCCAGCTCGGTGCTCTTGGCCTCGAACTCCGTTTGGAAGCCCGCGACGGGCTCAGTGACTGTGTCAACCTCCCGACCCTTCGAGCTCTGCCTGTCCAGAGCACTCCGCAGCATGTCATCTGGGGCCCCCTTGAACGCTCAGCGGCCTCTGCAGCTGACAAGGTGTGACAGGCACAGATGACCAACGCATGTTCTTCACTGTGTCCACACTTGCGCTGAGCTCCATGGGCCTTTCGCGCCTGCGCGACGTTACCGGTGTCGTTCTTGGAATCCTCGGCCTTCGACGCGCCCGAGGAGCAGATGGTGCTCTGTCACGGGATCCTTTCTCACGATCGGGCGATCTTCGTGGATCAGCTTGACCTTGTTGGTCCCGTCCGCACATGTAGCACCGTTTGTTGAATGCAAAATTGCGAGAGTACGTAACCGAGCTGGCGAGAAGCAGTGCAAGCCCGTAGAGGGTCCTTTGATTCATTCCCACGTCCCTTGGCACCTTTACCCATACAGTTGGAACCGTGGTGAAAAGAGAGAACGCCGAAGTGTGTCGAGTCAGCTGAGATGCCCGGCTGCACTGAACGCAGGCCCATCGCGGGTCCTTCGACTCATTTCTGCGTCCTTTGGCGCCTTTCCCCGCACAGTCGGATCCGTGGTGCGAAGAGAGGAAGCGCCGAGCTATGTCTGGCTGCACTGCGCCTCCGACGGAGACGTCTGTGCCAGACTGGTGAAGGTGACCTCGAGCGTGCCGTCGTTCAATCAGGACGGGTAACCTCAGCTTGGAAGTACACCCGATAGCCGTCCAGTGACACAGCCCGCACAGTGCTGCGCCAACTCAGGCGATCCACTCCAGCCACTCGCACGCGCGGGCTGGCAGCTGGGGGCACGGTATCGCGGGCTGCCTGGTTCGGCCTGCCCAGGCAGGACCGCACACGCACCAGACGCTTGCTCGGAGGCACTCGATCTCTGGGTGTGGAGGAGGGGGAGGAGGAGGAGGAGGAGGAGGTGGAGGAGGAGGAGGACCTGTGTAAACCCAAGACTCATCAACGATTTTGGATGCACCCTCCCTCCAAGCTCCCTCTTCATAGGCACAACCGTCTGAAAATCCCGAAGCGTGCCAACAAAACACCATTCTCAGGACGTCAACGCCACGAATCAACCTGACTGTTGCGTATTGACGATCCTGATTCGTGCCAGAATACCATTCCTAGGATTTCAACACCGCGGATTGACGTAACCGTTGCGCCTTGACAATCCAAAATCGTTCGAAAGCAATATGCCTGGAAGGTTCACCATGAGAATCCGCGAAGCCCTTGCAATGTGTTAAACAGAATGTGCGCGGCGCTCAGGCGCGAACCACATTTTGAAAAGCGACCCGCCCTCAATCCGTGAAGCTCCTTCAAGTTTGTAACGCGAATGCGCGCGACGCTAAGGCGAGAACCGCATTTTGAAAGCGACCTGCCCTCAATCCGTGAAACTCTTGCAAATATTACGAATGCGCGCGGCACAAAGGCGAGAGCAGCATTTTGAAAACGACCTGCCCTCAATCCGTGAAGCCCTTGCAGATGTTTGAGACGAATGTGCGCGGCGCCCAGGCGCGAACCACATTTTGATAACCACCCGCCCTCAATCCATGAAGCGGATGCAAACGTTTACGACGAGTGTGCGCGGCGACACGGCGAGAGCCACATTCTGAAAGCTACATGCCCTCAGTCCGTGAAGTTCTTGCAGTGTTTAGACCGAATGTGCGCGGCGACAAGGCGAGAGCAATTTTTTGAAAACGACCTGCCCTCAATCCGTGAAGCTCTTGCAATGTTTAGACCGAATGTGCGCGGCGACAAGGCGAGAGCCACATTTTGGAAGCGACCCGCCCTTCATCTGTGAAACTGTTGCCAGTTTCTAGGCTTCAGGCTCGTAAATGGTAAGGAAGTCTCAGGCGAAACGCCCGGCCCACCCTTCCGACCAGCCTCGGGTTGCGACAGGGAGGAGTCATTCATAAGGAGAAGGACTGGAGGAGGAGGAGGGGGGGGAAGGAGGCGGACAAGGAGGAGGAGGAGACGACAGAAGCAAACGGAGAGAGGGTCGAGGACATCAGCTTTCATCAGTTGGCCCAGGCACCCCAAGAAGCGTTAACATTGTTCTATGTGCTCCCTCTGATGCAGTGCCCTATGGGCCTAGAGATAGCCGTGCTGGGATCCACCGGCCTCGATGGTGAACGATGAACGCACCAGCACGGCAGGGATGTCTTCGAGAGGAGGAGGAGGAGGAGGAGGAGGAGAAGGAGGAGGGGCCGTCGAGGTGGAGGAGGATGACATGATATGATATGATATGAATTGATATGATATGAGCTGCTCTGATGTGGTATGAGATGCTATGATAGGACTTGGTATGGTATGATATGACATGTTGTGTTGTGCTATGATATGTGTTGATATGGTTTGATACGAGTTGGTATGGTGATTTGATGGTGTGTTGATGATGATGATGATAATGTTGATTATGATGATGCTGATGATGATACCGTTGATGATGATGATGATGATGATGATGATGATGATGATGATGATGATGATGATGATGATGATGATGATGATGTCGATGCTTCTGATGACGGTGATGATGATGATGATGATGGAGGAGGAGGAGGAGGAGGAGGAGGAGGAGGATTGCTGCACCGCTATGGGACTATAGGCGATACTGTGAGGTCTTGCCATCATCGTCACGTCCACTGCTGTCGCGAAAATATCATGTTGGCTAAGTGCGATGCTTCAATATTTTCGCTAGCATATCGCGTACAGCCTTGCTCGCCCACGCACAAAGCTGCTACTGCCCAACCGTGGTTCACGTCGCATTCGAACAGGCCCTGCTGATACTATGTCGAAGCATGAGCTCAGGTAGAGAGGGAGACGATCGAGGAGGGGGTGAAAGGGGGCGGGTGGGATGGGTGTGAGAAGTCGGGGGAGGGGGGGGGCAGCGTGGGGCAATGTGGGGAAGGCAGGGTGTGAGAAGTAGGGGGAGGGGGAGGGCGCGTCAATGTGCCGTTGATGAGTTCTGCTCCCGTCCCGGATCTTGACCCCTGGAGGCCCCCAGGGGTCCCCGCAGGTCCCCGCCGAAGACCACCCCTCCTGAGGTCCGACGTTGCAGAGATTCTGCAACATCGAAAAAACACGACCAGAGCCCCAGACCCTATCTTTCTGCGTCATTTTCCTGGTCGGATCGATCCGTGAGGGCCCCGGGGTCCGAAACCAGGCGAAAACGCCCGCTTCGAAAAGATGGCAACGCCAGGATCGATGGTCGAGGGCCGACCTCGGCATGTGCCGCTGGTTGGGCCGAGCGCGCTGGCCTTCCTGGGTGCACCGTGCCTCGGGGGCGGCGTCAGGCCGAGGCGGCGCGCGTCTCAGCCGAGGCCGCGGTGGCCGAGGCGGCCGCTGCGCAGGCCCCGAGGGCGCGGACCGAGTCGTCTGCTCTCTCATCGTCGCCATGAAGGGAACGGGTCCTGAGGGAAAGGGGCCCTCGTCGACGACAGGAGGAGGAAGAGTAGGAGGAGGAGGAAGAGTAGGAGGAGGAGCAGGAGACTTAGACTTAGACAACCCTTGGCGAAGCAAGCAGCGCTATCCGACGTGTCTTACTCGCTGGGCGGCATGCCTGTGTTCAGGCTGCGACTCTTTCCTGCGCTGGCACTGGCGGAAAAGACACGGGCCCCCCTGCGGCCCTCTCGGGGAAGACGCTGGGCGCAAGGGTGGCGGCCCCTCCAGCCTAGCGCGGAGGGGGAGAGGGCAACCCGCTGCCTTTTCCTGGCCAGGGGGGCCCCACACGGCGTCCCCCCCGCCAGGGTAAAGCAGGCGGGCGACCCCTTACTCCCTCCCACTCAGAGGGGGACGAGTTTGTCTCCCCCTACCTTTGCCCCTACCCTTGGCCCCCTTTGGGGCGCGGTTGAATTTTCGCTAGCGGGATCAAGCTGCCTCTGGAGTCCTCCAGATTCTGCTCGGAGAGGGAAGAAGTGAAAGAGGCCAGGACAGATTCCCTACTCAAGAAACCTCTAGTTACCAGACTCTGCAGTCTGGCGGAGTTGGCGAGAGCCGTCATCCTTCTCAGCTCCTGGTCCCCTACTCGCCCTCGAGCTTGTTCCACTGCGCTCTGGCGTCCCTCTCCGAGGCACCCCTCACTGCCGCTCCGATCATGATCTCTCCGCCCTGGCGCTCGACTTTGCCCCCGAGGTTCGTGTCCAGGTCCTGCGCTGCCTTGTTGGTTGGTGGAGCCCATTGGTGAGGCTCCTTGCCCTTCGTGCGCTTGGGTAATTTCTTCATCTCTTTGCCCAGCGGGACACGCACCTTGGAGTACCCCTCCTTCTCCTTCATGAAGTAGTCCTTCTCGTAGGTGGTGAGCGTGCTGCTCTTCGCCTGGCCTTCCTCGGTACTCACGAGCAGGGCGCGGTTGCAGTCCTCCCACACGAGGATGCTCCCCAGCTGCGCCGTGTCCACCATCTTGTCTTCTTTGTGGTCGTCCCTCGGGTACTTCGCCGCCTTGTGGTAGTCCCTGTCCTCCGTCGCGGCTGCGGCCAGGCCGAGCGCCGAATCTCCCTCCACGCCGATCGCCGAGTTCAGGTTGTCTTCCATGCTGAGCACCAAGAAGCCGAGCAGGAGGGCGAGTGGCGGCACGACTCGCGCCTTGGAGGCGCCTGTGCCTGCCGAGCCCTTGGCTGCTGCGGCGAGCTCGTCTGCTTTGTCCTTCTTCGTGCCGACGGCTGCTTCTTGTGGACCTGCCTCTCGCATGCCCCCCGCGAGTCTCCACGCCGTCGTTGCTCCCACGCCTGCGTCTGTCTTCCACTCTGGCTTGTCGGCGTCCACGTCGGCCAAAGCAGAGGTTCTTGCCCACGGTGGCGGGCGCACGTATGTCAGGAAGAAACGGCAGATGCCGCGCCAGATGATGCCGAAGCTCGAGCCAAGATCCAGTTACGTGTTCACAACCAGGACAGTGTAGTGAGTTAGGTTCATGTGCCGCGGTTAGGGCTCGAGCGAGATCGACTACGCAGTACCCTCGTTGAATAGACCGAGCGAGATGTCGACGGGCTGTGATTTCTGAGGCGAAAGTGGTTTCACAGACGATGCAAACGTTCGTGGGGTTGAAGAACGAGCACACGTTGACGATGTTGTGGACCTGCCTAACATGCGATCGAAGTGCTCGTTTCGAGAAGAAAGTCCTCCCAGAGCTCCTGCCATCCACCTCCACATTGCACTTGAAATCCTCCCCTGCCTCCTCCGCGAACTTCATCTGTTCCTCCTCGTTCGTTTCAGTGGACAGCTGGTGCGCACATGTTGGGGGGCGGGATATGTGTTCGGAATTCCTTGGCTCTGAGAATACTTACGTCGATTTTGCAGAATTCTTCTCTGACTAGCGGGTCTTTTAGCCACGCGACAATGTTAGGGCTTGCGGTCTCCAGCAGGTTCTGTGCTTCTTCTGAGCAGTTGGTCAGCTGGTGGACGTCCTCCTGTGCGCGCTTGGCCCAGGGATTCGCCTGGCTCGACAGCGCGCCGTCGTCCGTGACCGTCTGCATGGCCTGGCCGCTGATCGTGCCGAACATTGCCGCGAAGAACTGGGCGTTGCTGTTCCTGTCCCTGGCCGCTTGCTGCAGCCACTTGAGCCTCCTGACTCGAAGTTCCACTTCAGCTCTTGCTATCTTCCAGTGGGCGAGGACCTCGGCGTTGGTCAGCGATCGGACCGTGCCGTCTTCGTTCCAGGCGCAGGCTCTTCCCCTCATTGTGATCCGCGCCAGCGATTCTATTGCAGCGCCGAGGGTGTCGCACTGGCGCTTGGTCGGCAAGAAGGCTTCTACTGAGAAAAAGGCGGAGCTGCCAACTCTTCCCAGCAGCGGTCCCCCTCCATCTCCACGGGATGCGCGGTGCACTCCAGAAAGAGCCCATCGAGTAAACCGCCGCCTGAGCGACCTGCACCCCCTTCGTCAGCTCGATTCCGAAACTCTGAATGCTGGTAATGATCGGTCCCAGGTATCTCGCTTGATCCACAAGTTGCCCTGGTCATTTTTGTCGTTGTTCCCGTAGCCTGAGATCACGCCTGGCAATGCCACTGCCCAATCCATGGCAGGCCATCAGGTTGACCTGCTTGCTGGTGTTTTGCGCGATGCCTATGATGGACAGGTTCTCGTTCAGGATCCCGTCGCAGCGGATCAGCTTGCGCCTGAGCTCGCCCAGGTTGACGCTCTCCTTCTCGGCGGGCGGGTGCTGCAATATCTTATTGTTGTTGTCGTCGGCGTAGATGTGCAGGCTCATGTCCACGTTGCTTCTTGTCCGCGTCATCCTCCGCCTGCCAGCGTGACGACCAGGGCTCAATAGCGTAGGCAAAGGCTCTGGGGAAGCAGCTCACCATGAAAAGGGTCCCCCATGAGGCCTCCCTCTGTCGGTCTGAAGCGAAGTGAACCTTCAGCGGCTGGTAGAAGTACTTCCGCTCTTCTGATGCGTTGTAATGCGAGGCGCATATCGCGATCTCTCACCATCGACTCTGCTGTCAGCTCCATGTGCTTCCAGCTCGCCGATGGGGAGGCGTTGGTCATATCCTTGAAGCTGTCCACGTAGGAGCACTGCAGCTGCCTCAGAGTGTAGGCCGTGGTCATCGAGGCCAAGATCGCTGTTTTCCCGCCTTCTGCCTTGTGCGTATCCGTGATGCTCGGGCGGCAGCTGCTCGGGTTGACGGGCTCTAATACAGGCAGCGAAGAAACCTTTGCCCAACACTCTGAGGATGTGTAGAAGGCGTCTCCCTTTGGGCCCTGGCAGCTCTGATTTCTTGGCCGCGTAGCAATCGCTGACGTGCCAGCTGCTCGGCGTGATCTGGTGGTACCTTAAGTTGTAAAAAGCCAAGTGCAGACAAGCCTCGATGTAGCTGTTGTCCGTGTCGTCCAGGTCGTAGCCGACGCCCTTCAGCTTCTGGTCGCGCTGTGGGTTCAGGGCCATCCAGTACAGCTCTGCGGGTGGTGATTGCGCTGGGCACGCTCTTCTCTTTGGGGTCGTCCAGAGATACCTCTTCAGTCTTTTGAGGTCGCGTTTGCTTTCCAGGAAAGCCCCAGTAGCGTGCTCATTATTGAACTCAGGCAATTGATCTGGGTCATCGGTCATGTGGTCCCATGTGTCAGGAATAGGAGGCAAATCTTCGGGGACTTCTTCACATTCAAGCTCTTCTCTCTGGCGCGGGTGGTTCGTGATTTCCACTGCGCTCATTCCTCCTTCTTTTCCAGGTTTGCTGAGCTCTTGCATCCACTCGTCCTTCGTCGGGCTCGCCGGCGGAAGAGCTCACAGGTCACGTCTCTTCGTCCCCGTTCTCGTGTTGCCTAATCTAATCGTGGCCCTGTATGCCTGGGCGAATCTTCTAGCTTCCCAGTGCTCGCTTATCTCTTCTGCTATTGCGTCTCTGGTTTGTTGGCGCACTTCAGCTCGTACTTTTCCGCACTCTCTCGATATGGCCCTCAGAAGTTGCTCGACCTGTCTCTTTGTGGCGTCGGTGGCCCATGTAGCTTCACGTAGATCACGTCTCTGCTGTAGCATTGCCAGCCTTGCCTTTCTTAGCCGTCTATACTGTTCGTCAACAAAGTGTGGCTGCAAGAAAAACTCTTTGCCCGCGTGAACCATGTTCTGCTCCAGGTACTCGAAGATCGCGTCGGGCGTCTTCTGCGTTCCAAGTTGGACCCAGCGGGGCATGTCGCCCTGCAGCGCCTTGTTGAGCTTGGCGAGGAAGTCATGCTTGAGGTCTCCGTGTCGGAGCGCGTAGACCAGCGAATCTCGGTTCCACTTCTGGTTGTAAACTCGCCTCTGGGTCGTCGCATGTGGCCAGTTTGTCATGCATGATCGTCGTGTGCACAGGAGCATGGTCGCGCAGTTGTCTGTCTGGAATGCACTGCAGTCTTCTGCCCATCCTCAGCAGAGGCGTGGCCTTGGTGCAAGCTTCCTTCCACGATACTGGCCCGATAACGTAGTCCAGCCTCCAGGTTTCTTCGTTCTTGCCGAACCAGGTGGGATCGAGCGTGTCGCTGTAGACTGCCATGTGGTGCCGGTACAGCACTTCTCGTAGACATTATCTTGCTCCTTTGAAGAACTCCTTCGTCGCCGCCCCCTTCTTGATGACGCCCTCGCCGACGTAGCCGATGCTCTTGGTCGCGCTGTTTCCGATGCCGTCGTTGAGGTCCGTGAGGACGATGGGTAGCGAGGAGTGTGGCGTGCTGAGGAGCACCTGGTCCAGCCACTGCGTCATGCGCGTGCAGGTCTCTCGGTAGTGAGTCGCTGCTTTCGCCGTCTTCGGCTTCGGTGGGAAGCACATCGCCACCGCCGTAATGTCCATCAGCCCCTTCTTGCATCTGGCCGCTAGCAATCTTCCTTGCAGTGCGGCTGATGTCTCGAAGACACGCCGGAGGTGGGACTTGTCGAAGCGCCTGCCCCACATAATCCTGCACCCAGCCGATTTGTTTGTGAACACTCCTGGCCCCCAGCCAGAATCAACTATCAGTCTGGCTCTCACCTCCGACTGGAGCCCATGTGTGTAGCCTGGGGGGGCCTTGGACTGCGTGCCGACTAACGCGAAGACGTCGAAATTGGCGGCCTCGTCGGCGATGTCCTCAGCACGGCCCACCAGCGCCGACAGCGGGTTGAAGACCCCGACGAGCAGCGGCAGCGCCCTGAAGGGCCTGCCAGCGCGGGTCCTCAGGGAAGGGGCAGCCGCCATGGCCCTCGCCGCAGCGTGGCTCCTGGCGGCGTGGGGGGGTGAGGGGCTCCCCTGCGTCGGCCCTGCATCCTTGATGGAAAGGGGGCTGGAGGAGGAGGAGCGAGGAGGAGGAGGAGGAGGAGGAGGAGGAGGAGCGAGGCAGCGGGCGAGGGCGGCGGGCGCGCGGGCGGGCTGGCGCCGCGCACCTGCGCGTGCCGACAGCTCGTCGCCATGAAGGGAACGGGTCCTGAGGAAAAGGGGCCCTGGGGGGGGTTCATCGAAGAAGGGAAACGGCATAAGCATAAACTTGGGACGGTCCGCGCGGATCTTCCGGATCGGCGCTGCCACCCCCCCCCCCTCCCTGGCGCGCCCCGCGCGCGAGGGAGGGGGGCTCAGCGCAGGTCCAAGAAATCCGCACGGGCCGTCGAAAGTTTATATTCAATTGCTTCGCTCACTCCGCCGGCCCATTTTTGGGCACTGCTGCGTCGACTGGCCGAGTGGTCGGTGGCGGTGTTGAGCAGCGGCGTCGGCTGTTTTCTAAGGTGTTGCGTGGGGCATGATGCTTGGGCGATTCGTCTGGATTTTTTTGGGAGTTGTCAGGGGAATCGGTCGCTTTTCACGGGGCGGCTAGTTGTGTGATGATTCGTTGGACTTCGGGTGCCTTCGTGGGGGTTTGCTGGTCGTGGATGCTCACTCTGGGGCTTGTCGATGGGGCGCAGGGGACACTTGATGCGGCGGTGTTGGGGTCTCCTGGCAGGTGTCGCGGAAGTCTTTTGGAGGCAGTTTTGAAGCTTCTTGAGGCCTCGTCAGGGCCGTTTGGGTGCCTTGGGGGCCTGATTTTGGGCCTCTTGGGAGCTTCTTGGGACTTCTGGGTGCTTCTTGGGAGCCTGCTGGCGGTCTCGGAGGGGCCCTTGGGGTCGGAAAGCATCATATGTCATTTCGAGTTCCCTCTCTGGGGGCGTCTTGGGCCGTCTTGGAGCCCTCTTGGGCCGTCTTGGAGCCCTCTTGGGCCCTCTTGGGCCCATCTTGGGGGCATGTTGGGCCATCTTGGGGCGATCTTGGGGGGCTCTTGGGCAGTCTTTGGACGCTGTGAACCTCCGAACGTCGTCTATGCCAGAAACGCACATTTTCTCTAAGAAATGGGGCGATTTTCGCTTTATGGGCCCTCTTGGAGGGCCTCTTGAGGCTCTCTTGAAGCTTTTCGGCGGCGTCTACATAGGGCCGTCTGGAGACCAGCTTGGAGCAAATTTTCGGCGACTCGGGGCCCCTTGGACCGTCTCGGGGGCGTCTCCGAGCCTTTTTGGCGCGTTCCTGGAGCGCTCTGGGAGGCCTGGAAGGCAGCGCCGAGGAGGAAAACCATCTCTGAGCCGCATTGGCCGGGACCTGCTCGGGGTACTTTTCGTCCAGGAGCTCCGAGAAGCCGCCCAGCGCGCGCGAACTAGAATCTATTGTTAACCAGATACCGGAGATCTTAGCGATAGCATGCCTCTGGCCGGGTGGGCCCGCGAACTTACGCAGTTTTTTGATCCCGCTAATGAAGGAAACGGGTCCTGAAGTTTTTGGCCGATTTGGGCGTCCTGGGGCCCTCCACGGGCCCCAGGACTGTCATAAGCTCGGCTCGCGATGCAGTATCTTTTCGCCAGAGTGACCTCTGATGCGGCCCCACAATGACGTCCTGGGACCCTCCACGGGGCCCAGGACTGTCATAAGCTCGGCTCGCGATGCAGTATCCTTTCGCCAGAGTGACCTCTGATGCGGCCCCACAGGGACGTCCACAGCGTTGGCTTGCGCTTGTGGGTTTGCCCTCGCCGCGAACTGAAGGTCACTCCTTGCCCAGGGTCACTCGTTCGTGTAGCCGACTCGCGGCTCCTGCTGCTGCTGCTGCTGCTGCTGCTGCTGCTGCCGCTCGAAGCTTTCCGACGGGCAAGGCAAAATGCGATTTCGGAGGCGAGTTGCGCACTCGGTTTTAGCATGTTCCTCATATGCGACCCAATGGGCCTCCCGCGCCGCATGTCGACATTCTTCGAACGCCCTTGCGCGCGTGCGGGGGGGGAGGGGGCACGATCCCTGTCAAATAACGCCATGCGGGCCACTCGCGCGCGTCGGCCGCGCGCGCATGTCGAACTCATTCTAGAACCTTCATCACCGACGCTTTGACATCGTCATCGTTATCGGCGTGATCAGCATCGGCGCCGTTGTGAGCCTAGCCGTCGTCATCGTCATCATCGTCACATTCGTCGCCACGACCATCACCGTGCCCACCGATGCCGACGTCGCCACGATACCGCGCACGTCCTAGTCACCGACTCGCACTGAAGTGCCCGCTTGGAAGTGCCCAGTGGTCAGCGCCACCGTGGCGGCGTCTGTCGCGCCAACCTAGCTGGCCGTTCTGCGCGCGAGCATGCGCGGGCTAGCGCGGCCGCACAGACGCACCAGCCAACGCCAAGCACTCATCGCAATCGCCACCGCATAGGTATTGCAAAACAAGTTGCTGGTGGCGTGAGCAGTGGAATTGTCAACTCCAAGCTTTTCAAAGCTAATTGCACTATATAGATTGCGCATAATACTTTGCACAACTTGGCGTAGGTTGCACAGCATGAATCGCGCAACTCATATGATCTGCTCCACACATACTGCACATCTTAGATTGATAGAAGCGCACTGATTTGTGCCCACGCTGGCTAACAACCGGATAAATGCATATACATATACGTTCGTGTATATATATATATATATATACGTACGAACATTCAGATTAAACGGACATGCAGTTTAAAGTGGTACAATGCCTATTCAGTCAGCGCGAAGCGATGCAAACACATCACAGCAATGCTGTGCGTGCATCGCGAAGCAACGCGAGCAGCAATATGTCAAGAGAATGCGAAGCACTGGTGGTCAAAGCAACGCGAGACAACGCCTCGTCGTGGCACGCGATTCGTTTTGTTCGGGCTTGCTCTGTTGTTCGGATTGTTGGCGGCCTGAGGTTTAACAGCTTGCTCTTGGCATGCCAGTAACGCAAAGATGCCACCTCTTTGGGTCCGCGTCGGGTTCACGTGTCTGAGATGCGAGTGTTTCTCGCTCCGCGCAGGCGTTGGCCGAGGCGGCCGCCGCCGAGGCGGCGGCAAGGGCAGCCCGAAGGGCGGGGCTGGGGAGGGCCCGCATCCAAGATGGGAGGCGCGCTTTGAACTGAGGGGCCACGAGCAAGAGGCAGGCAGAAGAGGGCAAAGTAAGCGAGGGTATGCGAAGAGGGCGAAGAGTGGAAGCATGTGTGTATATATACATGTATATAGACGTGTATCGACATATGTATACGTAACTGTACCTATATATATATATATACATACATGTGTATATATACACATGTGTAGGTGTGTGTGTATATACATGTAGATACAGTGGGAGAGATAGAGAGAGAGAGAGAGAGAAACCAACAACAAAACAAAAGAGAGAGATGAAGACCCAGAGATCCGACGATGTTCCATCCATCCGCGGGCTCAGGGGTCTCCACCCGCTCCCTGGGGAGCAGCTTTAGGTTTCGGACCCGCTTCTTGATGGCCCTATGGGGCCCGAAGACAGCCTCCACGACGTTCCCCTCCCCACCCCTATGGAATCGAGCAGCCGAAATATCGGATCTGCGAAGACATGTCTGCTGCAGGAGATGTTGCTGGCAGGGCAGGGCGAGCGATATAGGAGGACCGGGAGCAGGAGGAGGTGGAGCATGGCCAATCTGAAGAGGGGGGGGGGATGAGCGGGAGGAGTAGGAGGAAAAAAGGAAGGACAACAATCGTCTCATTGGATGAGGCGGATGAGGAGGAAAAGGAGACCATTCATGTGCCATTCATGTCGTTAGTGTGGACCCCTGCCACGGCCCCGAGGGAGAACTGCGCGGAAGCACGGTGCTTGCGACACTCTTGAAAGCCATCAGGGTGGGACGCGTCATGGCCGCTGTGGCCACGCAGCTAGCGACCACCTGGCGGCTTGGTGCTTTGCCTCGGGGCCAGCGTCCTGGGCCATGGTGGGGCCTTCGTGTGCTGCCTCCCTGCCCCGAGCCAGCCTCTTCATCCTATCCCAATGGGTGCTGATTTGGCAGGTCAGGCTTGCCTCACATTCCCTGGTCAGTCTGCATGCATGCGCCGTTGCTCGCTGCTTTTTAGAGGTGCTTCGAAGGCCCCGCCTGCTTGGGCGCTTTCCCCTTCCCCTCTTCGTCGTCTCATCACGACCCTCGCCCGTGCGCTCGCGAGAGCCCTCAGGGGCAGGCCCTTTGGCCTCTCGTCGTTCCCGTCGACGTGTACTTCGACGCTGCGGGGTACGTAGGGCCCCCCGCCCAGTCCTCCCCCCCCGAATCCGCGTGCACACGCATGTGTGGTCGCCACGACGTTGTCGTCATGAGGTCTTTCTCGCAGCAGCAAGTGGAGGAGGAGGAGGAGGAGGAGGAGAAGGTGGAGGTGGAGGAATTGAAGGAGGAGGAGGAGGAGGAGGAGGTGGCGGAGACTGAGGAGGAGGAGAGGGGGGAGTAGGATGAGGAAGAAAACAACGAAAATGAGGAGGTACATGAGAAGGATCAGGAACATCACGATTTACAGCGATGCCTTTTCGAGGATGCGTCGGTTTACTGTGCTCCGGAATGCCCTCTGGCGAGGTTGGACGAGGGTTTGTGTGGTGATGTTTGCGTCGCCTGAGCTTCAATTCGTCGGTTGTGCACGGCGCGCCATCCAATGTGAAGCCCAAAGTTTGCTGAAGCATGGGGTGCATGAGCGGCAGCACGCAGGAGAAAGGGCAGGGTGCGCGAAGCTCCTCTTCGAAGCTCTACGTCTTCGGCCAGGTATTGGGGGGGAGAACCAGGTTATCGCTTGACTCACGGCATTCAGCGGAAAACTACCCAGTCACAAATGTTCGGAATCCCGCACGAATTTCTTGGATCGGTGTTGGGCGCCCCCTGGCGGCGCCGCCCCTGAGGGAGGGGGGTCCAGCGCCGATCCAACAGAGTCGTGCGGAGTTCCGAAATTTACCGTTGATGCGGATTGTGTCATTATGTTCTCTGCTGCTTATGATGCCATGCGGCACGTCAGCTTGTGTTGCGGATCTTCAGTGCCCTTGGGACCATCCGTCCAGCAGCAGAGCAAGACTAGCTGGAGGGTCACAGGGAGGGCGAACACCTGCAAAGGCCACGAACATTCATGTCGTATGCGCAAGGCTCCCGTTACGTACCCAATTACATCATGCGCATACACACATGTATATATGTACATCTTTTCATGTATATTACAATAACCCTCCCACCAAGCACTTGATGCAAGCACAAGATAAGATAAATACGATCAATGTATCTCCGTACTCAAAGCAGGCGTGAGTAGGTGCGTCCACCCTCCCGCCCAGCTTGTGAGCCACAACAGCAATGGGCGGAAGGAAAATATAATTCATTATCACCCTAAATCTCACATCCTCGCCTACCTGATCTTCACACAGGAAAAAAAAACGTTGCTAAAGAATGCGTAGCACATTCTGAAGCAAGCCTCCAGAATATTCATGAATATGCGTGTGGGCTCGACCGGCCAAAAGCCGCCCACACACCGAACAACAACTATCAAGATATCACATCAAATCTTGAGCAACAATTGCCAAGATATCAAATCAAATCTCCAGCAACAATTATCAAGATATCAAATCAAATATTGATGCAAACATCATCCCTTAACTTGAGAGGATGCACTCATCATCTCTTCACGTGAGAGGGTGCACACAATTTCCCCACTCAACCAACGCAACACACAACGTTGGTAGTGAATATCAATTCAATCTCTTCCACCATCCAACGTAAACACAAAGTTGGTAGTGACATCTCAATACAGTCTCTCCACCACCCAACACCAACATAACGTTGGTAGTGAAATCTCAGCGTACCTGAGCTGACTCGATGATGCTGTAGGCTATGTCAGTCTTGATACTCGGATCTAGATTGTAGCTCCGGTTCTCGTCTGCGTCCAGCTTCAGACAACGGCCCAAGCAATTGGCGTAGTGCTTGTCCTTGCTGTATATATATATGTATATATATATATATATATATATATATATATGCGAAGCTGCTGCCCTCGTAATTGCCACTGTTGATGCGCATCGGTCCCAATGTAGCCAACCACTGCCTCAGGAGAGCACTGTCCCCCAGGTAGATCTGTCCATCCTCTGTGATCTCGTCGGAGTACGTCTCCACCTCAGGCTCAGCCTTCAGACGTAGTGTAGCTGTCTTGAGTTTTGCCTGCTTGGGCACCTCCGCCCTGAAAATGTTTTCGCTGCTTGAACTGTCCACCTCCATCGGTGCCATACCGGAGTCCTCGTCGTCGCTCTGCTTAGGCTGCAGTATGTAGATAAACATGATGATTCCCGCGATGATAGAAACTAGAGTCACCACCGTAGGAGACATCGAAAGACAAATTCCATACATGCAAGTGCACAGATCTGAAGCAGAACTGCAACTTGGTCAGGTATCTGGATGGTTCGCTGCGCGCCACTCCTGTCCAGTGGGTAGTTGTCCGTCGCATCGTCCACGTAGAATGTTTCGACATACTCGGTCTCGTCATAATTCTCGTCCTTGTCATCGTAGAAGCACTCGTCTACATAGTTGTACGTCTCCACCGGCCAGGCAGATATCTCATCGTTCCCATCGGTGTCGTCGTACAGCTCCTGCTTGACGTACTTAGCCATCTTCGCGTTCAGGTCGTCGACCTTCTTGTTGGCTGAGCTTCCGTCCGCGTATCGATGGTGCTCTGTCATCAGGCCCAAGAGTCTACAGGTTAGATATCACAATCTTCCTCGCGTAGCCTCCTGTAAGTACTTTCGTCAAACAGTCCGCTAGCATCTGCTCGCTCTTGACCCACTTGATACTGACCTCCTTTAGTGACTGACGTAGTATAGCCGCCTCCAGAGAAAGTCTCCGATCTGTCATTGATACCTTCTCCTTCGTGATCGTGTCATACAGGCTCTTGCAGTCGGTCACCGAAATGCATTTCACCGGACAGGTGTCATGCACGATCTCGGCCGCATCCACCTCTGGGTACAGGATCTCCGCCGGGGTTGACCTGGTCCAAATCAATATACCCACCGAATCTGCACAGGAGTATGCCTCCGCCGATAGAGTAGGTCGCACCACTCGTTGAATATTTGAAGACTGCCACCCAATGCAATGTACCTTGTACTTGTTGCCGTGGTCCTCATTGATCTTCTCGTCACCTAGCATGATGAAGTGTCCTCCTTGCGATCTGTGCGTCGGCAGGTTGTCGAAAGCGCTGTCGGTCACGTTGATCACCATGGTCTTCCATAGGTTCAGACCAGCTGAGAACTTGATCAGTAAGTCGTCCCGCTTCTGGGTTCTCCTGATAGCAGGGGTCAGTGCACTGTCAGGTGCTTTGCTGCGCTCCCTGGAGACACGCACAGTCTGCATAGACTTCACATGGGCCTCCATGGTGACGTTGATACTGCCGTCCTTGTCCTGCTGATAGGCCCGGCCACAGAACGTCGCCTTCTCCTGCCTCGCGTATTTGACCTCGCCAAATTCAATATCCTTCTGAAGGTCCTTCATGATCTTGGCGCCCTCAGGGTCGTCCTGCTTGATGCCCATGAGGAAGTCGCCCACTTGTAGACACATGATCCCGATGATCGTGTTCTCCTCGTTACGCTTGATGAAGGTCGCGGGCTCGAAGCTCAGGCCTTCCCATCCAAGCTTCACGAGCGTCTCGCGCAGCGCCACATACCAAGTTCTTGCCGCATCGTTGGTCCCGTAGATGCTCTTGCTAAGCTTTAGCAGGTCGCCTGCCTTCACACCTGGGATGGTTCACTTCCCAAGGTTGGTCGGGATCCGAAAGTAGAGCTCGCGCATGATCGCCTTGCCTTGTAGAAAGGCCCCCTTCACATTCGCAGCGACTAGGTCCAAGTTGAGGCTCGATGCGATGCTGCACAGAAGTAGCGTCATCTGTGCTGAGACGGTAGGAGAGTCTCGACGTAGCTTTAGGGCGCGACGTTAAGCGCCCGACCTTTTCGGCTCCGCGCGTTTGCTTGGTAGAAGCCTGCGCTTCCTCTGCCCCGCGCGGCGATGATGGCGCCGGCCTTCCGCGCGACCGCGGCGCTGCTGCTCGTGGCGCCGGGGGGCGCCGGCCGGGCGCTCCCTGCGCTCCAGGCCGACAGCAGCCTCCTGGCCCGCTCCACGGAGCTGCGGCTGCGGGAGCGCGCGGCTCTGAGCCCGCCCGCCCGGCTGCAGCTGCTGCGCGCGGACGCCCAGATCGCCCAGTGCTTGCAGAGGGGCCGGGCCGACCCGACGCAGATCGCGGCCACGGTGCAGCAGGGCCTGTTGGCGGTGATGCGGGCCGTGAAGCACGTCATGATGCAGCCGCCAGAGGTCGAGCAGGGGCTCGACGTCCTCGGCAAGGGGCTCCTGGAGGCCATCAGCGAGCCCATCCGGGAGCAGTGCAGCAACGCGACCGCCTACGCGGCCTTCGAGCAAGAGTGGATGGGCTTCTTCGAGACCGCTGTGAGCACCACCCCGGCCGCCCAGGGCAACATCACGTTCTTCCAGGAGGAGGGCCGCCCCGACGCGGTGATCATGGCCATCCCCGACATCCTCTTGCTGTTGAGCGAAGGCGTCGTGAGGTTCGTCCCGCACGAGACGGCGCAGGAGGTGGCGAAGTACGTGGGCGCAGTGGGCGACCTCCTGGGCGCCGTGGGCGCCAGCTGGGAGGGCTTCGGGAGCGGCCAGGAGGCGCAGGCCATCGAGGACCTCTACTTCGCGCTCAGGGGGGTCCTGGGCCAGGCGCTGCCCGAGGACCTGCGGAACGACGAGACGTACAAGCTGGTCATCGGGACCCTCGACGGGGTGATCTACAGCCAGAGCGAGACGATGCTGGACTTCCAGCGGCAGATCGTCGAGGGCACTGTGTGCTGGAAGGCGCAGGAGGCGAGGACGAAGAGGCGCCCGAATGTCTGCCCCGAGGGTTTCTACTGGAACGGCGAGCAGCTCTGCCTGCCCAAGCCCGCGCAGGAGCCCGAGGAGCTGCTGCAGGAGGCGCACCGCGCTGGCACCGCGGGCGGGCTCGAGCGTGCCGTCGCCGGCGAGGTGGACGGCTCCGCGAGCGGCAAGCAGCCCATTCCCGACGGGGCCATGGTCGCTCTCTGCGAGGAGACGGGCAACTACACGGAGAAGATCGGCCACTGGTGTTACGCCGCCTGCCCAGCTGGCATGGCGTCGGTCGGGCTGCAGTGCAAGACGCAGTGCCAGGGCGAGTTCCCGGCTGACGACGGTGCGATGATGTGCGGGCACAACCCTGGCGTGCTCGCAGAGGCTGTCATGAACATGGTCATCGGCGTCGCCACTGGCGCCATCAATTCTGGCCTGCTCATCGCCTCGATGGCGAAGGACGGAGTTGATACGGACTCTCTCGAGCCTAGTAGTTCGTTCAACGATTTTTGCAATTTTGCAGTTTTGTTCAGAGTGGGGTGCGCGAGGGCAATTTCGCTGCTCCCTGCTCTTACACGCGCCCGCGGCCTTCCTCCACCCACCCTCCTCCTCTCCTCGTCGCTTGTCCTCTCCCGCCGTGGCGCGCGCCGGGCGACGTTTCCGGCGCGACCCTGAATTCGGAGATCGCGGAGGCGGACGTGGTAATGTCACGGCGCCTTCGATCCACTTGCACGCAGTGCCTCTCCGTGCCCCCAGCCTTGTGCTCTCCAGAATGCGCTGACCAGGCTCCCCCCTCCTCGTGCCCTCCATTGCCCAATGCTTCTGCCTGTTTGCACCCCCGTCCGCACCCGCGATCCCAGACCCCCGCTCGACTTCGACAGCCAGACATTCGTCTCCCCGGCACGTCCTCCACACGAGTTCGACGTGCGTTCGACGCGGAGCTGGACCAACCGGCGCCCTACCCGACGACGTGCTTCAGCACGACGCCCTA